AAAAAAAAAAACACACCCACACCACCAAAAAAACAAAAACACAAACAAAAACAAAAAAAAAACACAAAATTAACACACCAAACAAAAAACAAAACAAAAACAAAAAAACAAACAAAAAAAAAAAAACACAAACAACCAAAACCAACAAACAAACCAAACACCAACAAAAAACAACCAACAAACAAAAACACACAAACAAACACAAACACCCAAACAAAAACCTACACCATACAAACAAAACAAAAAACACACAGACAACAAACACATACACCATACAAAACACACATACACAACAGACAACAAACACATACACCATACAAAACACACATACACACCAGACAACAAACACATACACCATACAAAACACACATACACACCATACAACAAACACATACACCATACAAAAACACGATACTACACAGACAACAAACACATACACCATACAAAACACACATACACACCAGCTACAAACAACTAACACCATACACACACACCACACAAACAAACACACAATGACCACCATACAAAACACACATACACACCACACCACACAACAAACACATACACCATACAAAACACACATACACACCAGACAACAAACACATACACCATACAAAACACACATACACACCAGACAACAAACACATACACCATACAAAACACACATACACACCAGACAACAAACACATACACCATACAAAACACACACACACACCAGACAACAAACACATACACCATACAAAACACACACACAACGGAGAGCTCACCTTGACACAAAAGGCCGACTGTAAGGGACCGACTACTTTGGACACAGGGCATCGATCAAAGCCTCCGCCTGGGCTCTTGAAGATCGTCCGTTCAAGGTCACAGTCCCCTCTATACTCAGGCCGCTTTCACTGGGGTCGGCGATGATGACCTAGAGATAAGGTAGCAACACCCGGTTTTATATGTATGTATGTGTATGTATGTTGGCGTCTGTGGCTTAGGAGTTGCGAACGCGCTTCGTAATGCCGGGGACCGGGTTTGATCCCAGCTGCGGGCCTTGCGCCTTGCGTTGGTTTCGACAGTGGTATCGAGAAGCCGACCGTCTAGAAAGCAATGGCAAACTACTGGACGTAAACTTGCCTAGAAAACCACAAAGGTCAAACAATGCTGGGGTAAGTTCTGCAACGTGGATACGCAACTTTTACGTGTATGTATACATCGTGGCGTCCGTGGCTTAGGCGTTGCGAGCCCGACTCGTAATTCAAACTGCTGGCTGCGTGGATTTTTATTATGGTATGGCGCGTCGCAGGTCAACCCAGCCTAAAATGGGTACCATGATGTATATCCTGGGAAAGTAAAGACGGCCGGCGTAATGTGACTGAGTGGGCAGCTCCTAAACTCATAGCAACTTCTTACACCCCCTACATCATTCAGCAGCCATACTATCGCTCTCCATCTGTCACCATTGATCAAGCATCTTTGCTAAGCCTTGACTAAAATGGTAAAGGTTGCAAATATAGCCATTACGTTCCTACCGAAAAGTGGACGCCGTGTGTTCACTATAATCTCGACTTGAATCTAAAAAACAAATTCCAGCAATGTTATCAACAGGTTTTTCACCAGGAAGCATTTTCAAACATGCATAAATTCGTTTTCTACCACGTCCATTTGACTGACTTTGGAGGTACACATGCAGATTTAATTTATTGTTAGATTAACAAACATTGTTTAAGCATGCACTAACATGCAGCTATATTTTTTTTATTAGTTAAGTGTTCCAAAAAACAAAACAAAAAACGAGGGCTTGGTTGAAATGACCCAACATTTTAAAGTGGTTTTTCAGTTTGTATAGTGGTGGGTATAATATAACCACAACCGACACGACTACTGGTTACAGTGTCAACTGTTTTTGATGCTGCAATATAACTATACTAGACGGCTGTATAGTTGAACAGTTTTACAGGATTTGTACCAGTGTGATTCTCATCCTTGAGATGTTAATCCTACAGACTGCAATCCTAGAATCCTAGAGAGATAGAGAGAGAGAGAGAGAGAGAGAGAGAGAGAGAGAGAGAGAGAGAGAGAGAGAGAGAGAGAGAGAGAGAGAGAGTATGAGAGAGGGGAAAACCGAATTAGATGAGAGGAGGTGGTTTGACCCCCCCCCCCCCGCCCCCAACCCCCGAACAAGAATGTCGAAGTAGGCGAGAGGTGTTGGGTCGTATGGCGCGCATATCGCAGGCTAGATGTAAACTACATCACCAATCACTAATTTACTTACTAACTGACTGACTGAATGGCTGACTGAATGACTGACTTAAGGACTGACTGATTGACTGACTGAATGACTGACTGACTGACTGACTGACTGACTCACAACTCACATAATAGCGATATTTCAATTTTATTTTGCCTGTCCCTTTGTTTTCCAACTGTTTCCCTCCCTTCAGCTCTCCTCTGTCCTCCCTCCTCTCTTCCTCCCCAATCCCTCTACTCCCCCTATCTATCTGAGACTCACCTGGACTCCATTGGCAACCAGCTGTTCCACATAACGACTTAGATCTTCTGCCTCCTTGCCGTCTCCACCGGCCACGATCACGGCCACTTTCCTGGCTTCCACCCGGCCACCTCTCTCCACACTGTATGAGTCACCCAGCAGGCGCTGGACGTCAGCAGCAGAAGCAGAAGATAGAAATATAATTCGTTCATTCATTCACTGCCCTATTGTACCAACATATATGTATATATTAAGACATGATAAGGCGGGCGTGATTACTGCCTTGTGGGAAAGCGTGTACTAAGCATAAACTGAAATACTAATGGAATGCGATTTTCATCTCCACATTTTAATTCTCAAATTGTAGATTATTTAGTTTTTTTTAAAAACATTAGTTTCCTCCATTTAAAATTTTTTTTTTAACGAGCAGATGGATCACCACAGTTTGGTGAGACTGATGGAAAGGGGGGGGGGGGAGATTGACGAGAGGTTCTGGCAGATGCTTGAGGCTCAGAGGATAGGCAAGACGGACGTTTAATCAAAATGCTACTGGCACCATTATTAGAATTTTGAGAGCATGCATCGACCCTGTGACTACATACGGATGTGAGCCGTGGACTATCTCTCAGTTCTTAAGAAAGAGAATAGGGGCTTTTGAGCGGAAATGCCATAGAAAGATTCTCAGAATATCTTGGATAAAGAAAAAGAGAAATACTGACATCTTGAAATATTTGAACATCAAGGAAGATTGGCTAATAAACAGCATCCTGTATCGGAAGCTAAAATATTTTGGTCCTATCAAACGCCACGACGGATTGCAAAAAATATAGCAGAAGGCATGGTACCAGGAAGGAGAGGCAGGGGTCGACCGACACGAAGATGGGCACAAGATATAAGGGACTCCTTGAGTATGAAAGTACATGAAGCGGGAGAACTGGCAAGTTTCTTTCAGGCAGACTGTGATGAGAGCGACGTTCTGCAAAGGACCTGCTACATGATGATGATGATGAATGCACGTTAAGGCAGACGTGGTTAGTGCCTTGTGGATGGAAGAGCGTGTACAGCTCGGAGGAGCAAATGGATCACCACAGTCTGGTGAGATTGATGTATATCAGCGAAGTGTGACGAGAGGTTCTGGCAGATTCTCGAGGCTCAGAGGAAAGGCAAGACGGACGTTTAATCAGAATGCTACTGGCACCATTAGTATCGGAACTCTGCACTGGCTGCTGAAGACGGGAATGCCCCTAGTGCTCTGATGTCGGTTCTTGAATAAACTCAAATCAACTCGACTTGTGCCAATATATGTCACTTAGAGCTCGCAGCCCCCCCCCCCTAATTATGATCTATCCCATGCAATGACTTTGATATCATGGGGGGGGGGGGGAAATCTAATCTAATGCAACAGCTTTGGCGTCTCTCTTCAACGTCCGCCTTAAAGTGTCTTTTGGACGTCCTCCTTTCATCAGCCCCTCTATTTCCCATTTCAGAGCCTGTTTAGTTTCTCTTGTTCGTCTCTTCTCTCGTCCAGTATAACGCCATCTTGTCTGTCTTATAACTGTTGATAATAGTAGTTGGCCAGACATGACTCTTATGGAGGGGAAAAAACTGCTTACTCCAGTGTATCATTTACCCCTGATACCAAGTGAGTTTATTGCAATAATGTTGATTATGTAAAGATATAGAGAAAGGGAACTGTGTCACTAACCTCGATCAGCTGAGGCAGTGGGTTGCGATCATACTGGGACAGTCTTAGCCTGTATTCCTCCACCGTGCTGTAAGTGTCAAGGTCAAATCCTTCGTCATCTGGACAGGAACCGGAAACTACGCCATACTGGAAAATTAAAAATACTTAGGTTACATAAAACATAGACAGTGAAATAAATAAAAGCGAAAAAAAAAAAAAAAAAAAACAACAACAACATATAAATAAAATATTTCTTGAGCATATACCAGAGACGTCAATCAAACACTGAAAGACAAATTCAACGAAGGGCGAGTGAAGGTTCTGGAAGATGTTCAACACCGAGGGAGAATCATACACAGACAATTAATCTGGTTGTAACTGGTAATGCACTGGTACTATCTGTCACAGCGAGCCACACTAAAACGTTACAACGAGTATAGAGCGAGTGGAAGACCTCGGAAATAATGGAGTGATGGCATTAAGGACAGCCTTACATAAATGAACATCAGTCTTAATAGTGCTCTTGACAGAGCTCATCAACGAACATTACATTTCCCCCGAGGTACAGGGTGGAAAAGAAGAAGAAGAAGAAGAAGAAGAAGAAGAAGAAGAAGAAGAAGAAGAAGAAGAAGAAGAAGAAGAAGAAGAAGAAGAAGAAGAAGAAGAAGAAGAAGAAAAAGAAACATAAAACATAAAACATTTCGACAGCCCTGAATCCAAGACACGTACACAAGCGAAGCATAAAGGTACATACACACTTATTTACACGGCACATCATACAAAAGGTAGATATGGAATGAGAAAGCGGGGAGACATAAATCTTACCCTAAAGCCCACATCCAGCTCTCCATCACTGATGATGTGTCCAATAAACGAGGTGGTCCAGGCGGTGGCTTCTACGCCCAGGTTTAGAGGACTGAAGGCAAAGTAAATATCGCTTGGGTTCAATTCGCCGCATTCTGTCAGAGAAAAATATGTGAGAACACTGATCGAATTTTAGGGGAATGTTACTTATTTTTTCTGGGATCACGCAGGTGTTCCAGGTAATGCATAAGCAGATAGATTGGCTGGTGCCACACCACTGGGTGGTAAATTGAGGTATGACAAACAAGATGTGGTCAAGAAGCAAGGGAATACTGTGGCAGAACGAGTGGAATATTAGGTAAGGAGAGAATGATGCAGAGGGGGGTGACTAGAGATCTGGTCTATGCTCTACACCCAAAGGAAGGCAAATGGACAAACAAAGAAAACAAATTTCTACTTGTCCTATCGGAACTTAAACTCCTCCCTGGCTGCTGAAGAGGAGGGCAACGTGTTTATGGTAGATCCTGACTGCTATGAGGTCATTTCTTGACTTTACCTAATTCATCTCAACACTCAACAAATACGCAACAAATACAACATTGACACAGTAGTTCTTTGTCTTATTCTGCATTTATCCTGCAATGGAGCGTAGTTTCTCAACCTACTCTTTTCAAGTTGTCATACAGGTTGATATTCGGGTTGTCTTATCCGTTGCTATTCAAGTTGTCCTACAGGTTGATATTCGGGTTGTCTTATCCGTTGCTATTCAAGTTGTCCTACAGGTTGATATTCGGGTTGTCTTATCCGTTGCTGTTCAAGTTGTCATACAGGTTGATATTCGGGTTGTCTTATCCGTTGCTGTTCAAGTTGTCATTCAGGTTGATATTCGGGTTGTCTTATCCGTGGCTGTTCAAGTTGTCCTATCTGTTACTATGGCGTGCAACACCACATGTTATTTTCTCTCCGCATGTCTGATCCAACTCCAACATGTTTTCCTCACTTGGCGAGGACTGACCTGAGTCACTTTAGTTAGCACCAAAGCTCAACGTTGATTTGATTATACCATTTAGTTCCTTCTGTTGTGCGGAGGAACCAGTTAATGAATGTTTGTAGTTTATTAGTAACCGTTGTTACAGAATAGGACATAGCACGTATGTAAATGCGCCGAGTGCTATGTCAATTCTTGACTTAACTTAACTCTAGTAATTGTTGTATTTGTTCTCAAAGTTTCTGCTCCGTACCACAGTATTAATTTGACATTGGAATTATAAACAATGAATTATAAATTGTGAACTAATTAAAATTTTTTCTGAATATTTTAGATTTATTTGTACTTTTTAAAAAAACACACACACATATATATCTACACACAATCCTTTATACACACTGTATATACAAAAACATACATAACCACACGCCTAAATATAAGCATTTATAGGCACACAGAGGTACGTGCAATCCTTTACATGCAGACATTGACAAACCGACTTTATGAGAGGCGAAGAGAAATTTAGATTTACAATAAGAGAAAATGATAGACAAGCAGACACAGACCGACACCCATACATTAAAAAAAAAAAAAAAAACAAACAGACACATTACTTACTCTGTATCTTGGGCGGTGGAGTCGTGGTAGGCTTGGGCTTGACTGCAAAAAGAGGGTTACATAAATCAGTTGTAACTGTGAGTTTATTCTTTTTTTTTCTGTTATGATATCAGCTCTCCTCTTTCTGCCTTTAATTGTATATTTTGACCCTGACATCCACCCCTCCGTTTCCCTTACATAAACATTTCGTGTCGAGTTTATTCAGACCTTTTTGTGATTCATCTACGAAATCGTGGTTTTCGCAGGATGTTGTGTACATTTGAAGTTATTTGGAAGTCTGAGGACTGAATACTAGATACACGGAAGTAAAATACACATTAGGACATATATTGATGTACAAATTATAAATAATATCACTCCATATAATGGCGTCGGTGTACATATTAACAAATATTATCATGCCATATAATGGCGCAGCATACATATTAACAAATATTATCATGTCCTAGAAGGCGTCTGTGTACATATTGACAAATATTATCATGCCTTATAATGGTGTCTGTGTTCATATTTAAAAAAAAATATCATATCTTTTAATGGTGTCTGTGTACATATTACAACCATTACCACGCCACGTCATGATGTATGCGTACACATTATAAATATTATCACTTCATATAATGGCGCATGTGTACACATTAACAGACCATTTGCTTACAATCTCGTCTATGTAAGCAGAAATATTCGAAAGTCCTGATCAATAGATATGATGATAAAGATCAGGTTAAATGGCATTGGGTTGGGGACGATCACTAGTATCAACTTCGGATCACACAAATAGATATATGATACAAACCGATCTCTCACGTAGATACCAAGAGCAGCTCTTCTCCTTAGCGTTCGTCAAACTCCAATGCAAAGTTCTGGCTGTTCGTCCACTCCTTTACTTTTGTTTCGATTCAGTACCTGTGTTTTGCCTGAACATATTTTACAGATCTGGCTTAGCTGTATGCACACTCTTGGATCCTTGCTTCTCAGGTAGAGCTTCGACTTTAAAAGAAACATCCGTAATTAGTTGTCTCCTAAGACATGCTTGCCTTATGGCAGTGGGTCTATTCTTTGTTCCCCAGAATAGAGCACCGGAACCCAGACAATAAAAACAAAGAGCAACTGACCGATGCAAGTCTTCTTGGCCAGAGTCTCCTTGATTGAGTCCAGCTGGTCATATCTGTCCACTTTGGTCACCCTGGAGGCATCACCTGCGATTCTCAACAGTTCTTCGTCTCGGACCCCAGGACCCACACCCACGGCAAAGATAACGATCCCGTCTTCTCTGGCTTCCTTTGCGGCCTTTTCGGTGAGTCTCCATCTGTTGGTGACAGAGAGCAGATACATCGACACTGATAGAAGGTGAGGCAGAGGTGTAGGACATCATCTCTAGTAGATGTGGGAAATACATGTGGTAAAAGGGGAATCACATCAGAAAGAGACAGTCTACATTCTTTGGTCATGTCACTAGAAGGAGAACCTTGGAGTACATCGTTACGGTGGGAAAGCTGGAGGGGAAAGGAGGCAGAGGAAGACATATATATATATATATATATATATATATATATATATATATATATATATATATATATATATATATAGATAGATAGATAGATAGATAGATAGATAGATAGATAGATAGATAGATAGATAGATAGATAGATAGATAGATAGATAGATAGATAGATAGATAGATAGATAGATAGATAGATAGATAGATAGATAGATAGATAGATAGATAGATAGATAGATAGATAGATAGATAGATAGATAGATAGATAGATAGATAGATAGATAGATAGATAGATATAGATAGATAGATAGATAGATAGATAGATAGATAGAATAGATAGATAGAATAGATAGATAGATAGATTAGATAGATAGATAGATTAGATAGATAGATAGATAGATAGATAGATAGATAGATAGATAGATAGATAGATAGATAGATAGATAGATAGATAGATAGATAGATAGATAGATAGATAGATAGATAGATAGATAGATAGATAGATAGATAGATAGATAGATAGATAGATAGATAGATAGATAGATAGATAGATAGATAGATAGATAGATAGATAGATAGATAGATAGATAGATAGATAGATAGATAGATAGATAGATAGATAGATAGATAGATAGATAGATAGATAGATAGATAGATAGATAGATAGATAGATAGATAGATAGACTGACAGACTGAACAGAGACAGTCAGACAGCAGACACACAGACTAAACAATAGATAGACATACAGATAGAAGATATATAGATACAGATGATACTGGACAGTTTGACATCATGTCGTGAACGCCAGAACTGATGGCAAGATCACACAACAGACGGATGTGGGTAACGACATGACTACCAACGTCGTCAGGCGTGGAGGATCATCAGTGTCAGAATAGAATGCAACTATAGGAGACACAAGGTTCTGGATAGTCACGTTACAACTAACACAAACCATGGACTATGAGCGACGAAGTGAGGTATATGTGTGGCATAGATGTGTGTTAGAAGTGAGGTATGTGTGTGGTATAGATGTGTGTTAGAAGTGAGGTATGTGTGCGGAATAGATGTGTCTTAGAAGTGAGATATGTTTGTTGTATAGATGATTGGATACATAAAGCGTGCCTATGATTTAGGCTAAATATAAGGTGCATATGGGAGTCGCCGTGGCGCTGGCGGCTAGACGCCCGCCTGCTGATCAAGAGGTCGTGGGTTCGCGTCCTGGCGGAGCCGCACTTTTTTTCTTTCAAAAATGACCTTGACCCCTAGGTCGACCCAGTGGATACCAGGTGCAGTTCTGGGAAGTAAAGGCGGCCGGCGTAATGCTGACCATATCACCCACCAAATAGTCTATAAATATAGGTCTAGCCCAATATACCCAATACGCCTAAAGGTGTGAGAAAGGGTCCTTTACTTTACTTTACTCCACACAGTGTGTCTATGATTTTGGCTACTTCTAGTGTTTTTGACTTTGGCTTCACACAGTGTGTCTATGATTTTGGCTACTTGTATTGAGCTTATTATACTTAAATTACCAGGGAAAGAATATAATAAGGTAAGTATCATCATCATCATCATCATCATCATCATCATCATCATCATCATCAACAACAACAACAATCACAGCAACATCACTAACAACAACAACATCATCATCAACAACAACAGCAACAATAACAAAAACAACAACAGCAACATACTCTTGAGAATTGCCGTCTGTGATAACGACACTAATCTTCTCCGCCCATGGCCGAACCACATCCTCAGCCAGCTGGACTTTGTGCATGTAGTTGATAGCCTTGCCGGTGTCCGTGTAGAGGCCAGCCCGGTGAGGGATTCGACCCACGGCCTCGATGACGTCCTCTTTCGTGTTGTAGGTGGTCAAGTTGAACCCATCCTGTGGAGACACAACAGACAGCGTAACTCTAACTGGAGCAAGGCGGGCGCCAAGTAACCACAGAAGTTGAGAAAAGAATTAAAAAAATGAATTCATTCCAGAAGTAGAGAAAAGAAGAACAATAAAAATAAAATTGATTCCAGAAGTAGAGAAAAGAAGAACAATAAAAATGAATTCATTCCAGAAGTAGAGAAAAGAAGAAGAATATAAATGAATACATTGCAAAAGTAGAGAAAGCAAGAAGAATAAAGATGAATTCATTCCAGTAGTAGAGAAAAGAAGAAGAATAAAAATGAATTCTAGCACAATTTTTTTTTTCAATTTAGTGACTATTTTTTAGAGGGAGAAGGAGAAAGCTGGAATACATGGTGACAGTAGGAAAGTTGGAGGAGAGGAGAGGCAGAGGGAGACAGAGAAAGAAAGATGCTAGAATGTTTGACATCATGGCATTGAGGTCATCTGTGAGAGTTGATTGAAAGCACCCGAGACAGAAGATTGTGGATAGACATGACTACCAACGTCACACTGTATGGACTTTAAAAAGAAGAACCCTTTTTTAGCTGCTCAAAGGGAGACAAGAAGGAAATTCAGAACTAAATGTTGCACTGACCTGTGGATAAATTCCCTTTCCATACGTGATAATGGAGACTCGAACGCCCTCGTTCCCAGTGCCGATGTCGAAGTGGTCGAGGAACTCCTGTAGGAATGTGATGGCCGTGGAGAAGTCCTTTCTGCTGATGGAGCTGGATGCGTCCAGGACGATGCCGAGGTCTATAGGGGCTTGAATGCAGACTGGGGGAGAACATGGGCAACAATCAGAAACTCTGCTTTGTTATTTTAAAGCCCCACTTCGGTTGTTGTCGAGGGGTCCTAATATAACCTCATGTAGTGTTTCTCTAACCTTTCTTAGTCGCGGCTCATTTTCTCCCCATTAAAATGTTTCCTCGGCGTCCTAACCTAAGTAAAAGTATGACTATTTGGATGTAAGAGATTAAAAAAAATAAATTTCGCGGCCCCCCTGTGGAGAGGTCGCGGTTCCACGGAACGCCGCGGCACACAGTTTTGGAATCACTGACCTAAAACTTGAATGTGGTTTTTGGGACTGGCGACCAGATGTTTCTTATCTGAATGGTGACACTTTGTGTCACCGGGTGTTTATCATTGGTTGTGATGGAGTTAAACTTCCCTCAACATGGGCAGTGGTAGGGCTTCGTCGCATGTTTGCGAAAGGTGCTAGTTCGATGTAGTGACAGTCGCAAGGTGAGTCATTGTAGATTTTTTGATGGTCATATAGTGAGACAATGTAGATCCTGTGATGGTCATATAGTGAGACAATGTAGATCATGTGATGGTCATATAGTGAGACAATGTAGATCATGTGATGGTCATATAGTGAGACAATGTAGATCCTGTGATGGTCATATAGTGAGACAATGTAGATCATGTGATGGTCATATAGTAAGACAATGTAGATCATGTGATGGTCATATAGTGAGACAACGTAGATCATGTGATGGTCATATAGTGAGACAATGTAGATCATGTGATAGTCATTAAGTGAGACAATGTAGATTATGTGATAGTCATATAGTGAGACAATGTAGATTATGTGATGGTCATATAGTGAGACAATGTAGATTATGTGATGGTCATATAGTGAGATAATGTAGATCATGTGATGGTCATATAGTGAGACAATGTAGATCATGTGATAGTCATTAAGTGAGACAATGTAGATTATGTGATAGTCATTAAGTGAGACAATGTAGATTATGTGATGGTCATATAGTGAGACAATGTAGATTATGTGATGGTCATATAGTGAGACAATGTAGATTATGTGATGGTCATATAGTGAGACAATGTAGATTATGTGATGGTCATATAATGAGACAATGTAGATTATGTGATGGTCATATAGTGAGATAATGTAGATCATGTGATAGTCATTAAGTAAGACAATGCATAATATATGATGGTTGTACTGTAAGTCAATGCTGGTAATTAAATATACAAGACAAAGTTTGCAACATAAAAGCAATAGAAAGACAATAAATAGATATTTACTTAGTTTGTTGTTGTTGTGAAATAGACAATAAACAGAGAACAGATCGAGTAGTTTGTGAGAAAGAAAACAATTTTCAGAATCAAACAGGAAAACAAGCCTTCTGTTGACTTACTTTCAACGTAGCTTCCAGTGTCTGTGACGGTCCGTCTCTTGGTCAGTTTGTGTGCCGCACACTCTGAGGAGTGGACAAAAGGTTATGACGTCATTGATGGAGTAGATTCAATCATTGGACATTTCTGTAGATGAGATGACGGAGCGGCCAAGCAAGGGTTCAGTTGTCTGAGGTTCCCCCCCCCCCCACCACCGCCTACTTCTCAACATGTATGGGCATTCTCTTTTTTAAGAATTTAGTTACACATTTCATGCTATTTCATACATATCAATAATATTTGCTAGACAGCACATAATAAAAATAATAATAATGATAATAATTGTTACTATTATTAATGCTAAATTGTAACAAATCGTTAGCCTCTTGAGTCTTCAATAATTTTTAGAGCAGCTGAGATCCCCCCCCCCTCACACGCCTAGAAAATTTTCATTGTTTTAAGCGCTCTTCCCATCCTCCTTCGCACCTACAACCACAGAGCGACGTTTTCTGTTTAAGAAGTTGTGAATACATTTCATATTATTTCAAATACGTTATTTTGTTGTTGTTGCCATTTACCGAATAATAATAATAATAATAATAATAATAATAATAATAATAATAATAATAATAATAATAATAATAATATAATATTAATATAATAATAATAGTTCCTATCCCACCATTCGCACACGCACAAATACACAATCACAGATAACAACAAAAGTGTGATATTGTGTGAACGCACAATCCAGCAATACTCACCAGTGACTGCCAGCAGAACCTGTAAGAGAAACAAGATATAGAACAAGTTAGACTCTGATGGTGATGGGTTTTGTTCCCCTCTAGGGTTGCTGTCCGTGGCATCTCACTGACGAGAATCAGACAGAAGCAAATCCCAGAAACCTTGTTTAGCTGTATAACACAGTTACCTTAGGCCCCGATCATCATCATCAAGTGCCTTGCCAACTGGAGTAGGTTTTCATGTATCACCACAGATCTCTGTTTGTGATGTTCTGGGGTAAATTCTGCGGAGTTCCCTCCATCTGGCTCAGCTCTGCCCATTTACGCACTAGGTTATGTTTCATTCACATTTCGTTAGCCTCGTCAACTTTGCTGAAGGTTACGGAGGTGTCCCAGTGTACAGTTTGCTCGAAAAGCTGGCTGCGTTCTTTACAACGGCCGTTGATATCGCGTGTTGTATATTCCAGAATGTCAGCGCTTTTGACAGTCCAAAAACATGCAAAACTGGCCCTAACACAATCCCGCCCACGAGAGTACTGCAACCTACGTCACACGCACTCTCCTTCTCGGAATGAAAACGTAAATAGAAGACAACGCAGAAAGCTTTTCAAGCCAACAGTACACTGGGACACCCCCTTGAGCAAACACGACGAGCCTGAGCAAGCATCAATCAAAGGTGACCTAGTATGTAAATGGGCGGAGCAGACCCAGACCGGAAAAACTTCGTAACATTCACCTTTTCTGGATCAATTCCACTGATGATATTCCTCCATGCTACTGTCTTAGGCCTTCCACGAATTTCTCTTTTTCTGTCTCTGCCTCTTCTACCAGTGATCTTTCCAGTCGTCATGATATTTTCCCGTGATCCTTTTCTCATCACATGACCATCCCGTGATCCTTTTCTATCACATGACCATGTTAGTCATTCTGCACAATACAACGATACAATTTGGGAAGACATCACGAAACGGGCAAAGTCTGAGACAGTGTACAGTTAAGACGAGAGACAGAGCGTGCTAGAGATCCATTACACCCGACCTTCACTGTGGAGACGGCAACGGATTGGTTAATTAGGGCACCCCTGTGATTACAAGTGACCCAGAAGTGGGGATAGGATGTTCGTAGTACTAGTGAGCAATCTGACTCTTTGCTTTTTTCCTAATGATGTGCACCCACAGTAGAGTGTTTGATAGGTGTAAAACACAGATCGAGTCAAATTTTAACGTTAAAAAATCAAGCATATTTTTATAATAACTACACCAATTACTAAAGGCTGAATTATTTAACAAATTTAAAATACTTTTTCTTCGTCTTCAATTAACTAATAAAACTACACTCGGGACATTCACACACATGTTCCGACTCATCGCTAGCAGTCGACAACGACCTCTTTACCATGTGCAGTACTTCCAATAGTAATCTTATTAAAACTCTGATTATCGTCTTTCTCTTGAGTATAGTTCAGGAAGCTGCATATTTATATTGAATGTGTGTGTGTGTGTGTGTGTGTGTGTGTGTGTGTGTGTGTGTGTGTGTGTGTGTAGGTACACCCACACAGAGGCTTCATCTGCAACGCACAGACCACTCTGATGTACTAAACAGATCCGAACACCCCAGCCCTGACTACAACAGACACTGGTGCCACGACTTGTACATACATACCTGCAGGACAGCAGCTGCTAGAAGAAGCTTGTACATGGTGAGGGGATTGAGTCAGCAGCTGGAGCTGTTGCGGGGCTGTGTTTAGTGACTAGGACTGAAGCAGGAGTCTAACTGCGACCAGGATAGAGACACAGAGTTTAACAATTTCATGGGCAGGTCAATAGGTGGATGAGTGGATGGGTTGGTGGCTCAGATGAGATACGTACATATATACATTCACAGACACACAGACAAACCAGGAGACTAGATAGAAGGACTGATAATTGGATAGAAGAAAAAAGAAGAAGAAAAGAAAAAGAAGAAGAAGAGGAAGAAGAAGAAGAAGCAGAAGAAGAAGAAGAAGAAGAAGAAGAAGAAGAAGAAGAAGAAGAAGAAGAAGAAGAAGAAGAAGAAGAAGAAGAAGAAGAATATGATAATAATAATAATAATAATAATAATAATAATAATAATAATAATAATAATAATAATAATAGTATTAATAATAAAAAACTTCTTCTTTTTCTTCGCGTTTATCAGCTGTACACTCTGGCGAAAAGTTCTGGTTGCTCGTCCACTACTGAACTGCAGTCCTGCTCCAGAACCTGGGTATTGCGTGTGCATCAGTTTTACAGATCTCATTCTCTTGAATACAGACTGTTGGTTACTTGCCTCTCCGGCAGATGCACTCCGACTTCAAAGGAAGCTACCCAATTAGTCGACTATAACGACATGCTTTTGGGGAGGCAGTGGGTCTTTTCTTGTTTTCCCCACGATGGGGCCCCGGAACCCACACGAGGTAATAATAATAATATAATAATAATATAATAATAATAATAATAAGAAGAAGAAAAAGAAGAAGAAGAAGAAGAAGAAGAAGAAGAAGAAGAAGAAGAAGAAGAAGAAGAAGAAGAAGAAGAAGAAGAAGAAGAAGAAGAAGAAGAAGAAGAAGTTTATGACGACTAAGTTTTAGTTAAAATTGGAGTAAAAAAACGAAACTAAATAAAACAGAAGCCTGGACAAGTACCTGGTTTCTGCTGCAGCAAAGATATCAATTTGTTGTCCAGGAACCTCATTTATACACTCGTCTGTGGTGACTGTTTGCCTCCACCCCCCCCCCACCCACACGTACACCGAAATCCAGCAATGGTGAGTAAGTGTAATTAATCGTAATATCAAGTATATCACAAGCTGTACCGGTGGTGCTCGCATTGCTGCTCAGGAGCGCTGACAGAGAGACAACATTCTGCGTTTCTCGGGGAGGGAGGAAAAGGTGGGGGGGGGGGGGGGGGGGGGTTATCCTCAGCCCTTACAAATATTCTAACAGCGGTAGAGGTTGCCTTAACATTCCTTAAACATTTAAGTGAACAACAATAATAAAAGTTATTGTAATAATAGTAATATAACGGCGATGGTGTAGGGTGAACAAAAATTATCAGTAAAAAAATAAAGGTAAAAACGCATATTTAAAGACAAAACTTCTATACATAGTTACAGAGGCGCATTCTTACACATTTTAGGGAGGTTGGGGAAAATAAGGGATGGGGGGGGGGGGTGGGCTGAGCCTCTAGGTTCCCACAGCTCTGTTTCACCTTGAACCTCTAGGTTTTGACACCCCTGTATTACCCTGAGCCTCTCTTGTTTCGATATCCCCTGTTTCTATTTTTCTGATTACCACGTTACATGATTCATTTTTATAATTTGGCGCGGTTAGAGTTTCTAGATGCAGCGTCGTATGTCAGCAATTTTCGCATATTTTGACGTATCAAGCTGCCAGCAAAATAGCAGCACCCCTATGGGATGGTCAATTAATGTTACGTAAACAGAAGACGTCAAGAAATTAGGAGTCGACAAAACTATACTTTTTCTATAACAGCCAGCCTTTTGGCTACAGCCCACATTTCTTATTTGACCTTTCATTGTTAAGACCGACTAATTAGCCACTGCGTTTAGCTCCTCTCCCTCTGACATGGGGTAAAACAATGTAGAGAATGTGTGTAGGCAGGCTACTCTTTGAAGAAGAGGCTGGGGTAGATCAAACACCTGACAAGTGGCACGGCGCATTAATAACAGACAATCCATAGACAAAACAAGTCATAAGGCATGAGTTGGCAAAATTGACAATGTCACAGGGCATTGAGGATAAGTAAGGACATTATATAGAGCAGAGGCTGATCAGAGCAAAAGGATCACGGGACATTAAGTACAAACAAGGATATTACACGGAGAAGAGGCTGATTAGAACAAAAGGAAGACGGGATATTAAGCACAAGCAAGGACATCACAATGGAGCAGAGGTTCTTCTTCTTCTTCACTTCCTTTTCTACCACTGTGGGTGTCGAAGGAGATTTAAGGTTCTGTTTCTAGCTCTTCTGGCCGCCTCAACCATAGGCACATCGTGCTGTTGTAGAGTTTCTCTGATGTTATCCTTCCATCTTGTTCTTGGTCTACCCCGTGCTCTACGTCCTTCTTCTACCTATGGTATGGTGTCACAAGGCATTCTCTCTAAGTGGGCAAACCATTTCACTTGTTGTCTTCTTATGTAATTTAGAATTGGTTCTGTGCCGACTTTTTCTCTTACGATTTCATTCCTGATCTTATATCTTATGGTTACTCCTACAGCCCTTCTCAGACATCTCATTTCCATGGTTACTAATTTTCTTTTATGGTTTGTTGTGAGTGACCATGTCTGGCACTGGTAGCAGAGAGTTGGAATAAATATGCCTTGAATAAGATGTCTCTTTGTGCTGATTGGGATTGTCTTATACTGTAAGAGGGGTGCTAGCTGTCCCAATACTTGGTTTGCTTTAGTGCATCTAATGTTAATTTCTTTATCCAATTCCCTATCTTCGGTAAATGTAGTTACCAGATATTTAAACTCAGATGCCTGTTTAATGCCTTTTCACTCTATTGCTATGTTTAGATCTGTCTTCCTTTCTCCTATTGACATTACTTCTGTCTTTTCAGTGTTGATTCTCATATTATTTGTTTTACATTCTTCATTCATGGATGTTAGATGTTGCAATTTCATGGCTGTATCTGCTATCAAGGCCTGGTCATCTGCAAAGAGTAATTTGTTGATCTTACTAACATTTTCATTCATGGGCTTGGCATTCTTGCATATACTGTCGATGTAGGTGATAAACAGCAGTGGTGATAAGACACACCCCTGTCTTACTCCAGATGTCACTGTAAATGGATGAGATGTTCCCTGATTTATTCTAACTACACTTCTACAATCCCTGTATAAACTTTTGCACACTTCGATGAGGTGTTCGCTTACTCCATATCTTGCCATTATTTTCCATAATAATAGCAGAGGTCAATTAGACTAAAAGGATCACGGGACATTGGACACAAGCAAGGAAAATACATGAGGCAGGAGAACCGCCCAATGATCGAGGCTGTCGGCTTGGCTGTGACCAGAACGTCGTTCTGCCTAACGCTTGATACATGCATGACTAAAGTGACCAGGCATGTCTAAAAATATAATACATTTAAATCATTATTCTCCAACCCTTTTCCGGTCGCGCCCCCTTAAGTATATGGCAAGACCCTCACGCTCCCTTGAGTATATGGCAAGACCCTCACGCTCCCTTGAGTATATGGCAAGACCCTCACACTCCCTTGAGTATATGGCAAGACCCCCACTCTCCCTTTGAGTATATGGCATGACCCCCACTCTCCCTTTGAGTATATGGCAATACCTTCACGTCAGTAAACTAATTAGGGATCTTCCTTGAAATCGGAGTGCATGAGCATGAAAGGCGACAAACCAGTCCCCAACCCCCCACCAACACAACAAAATGTAATTAAAAAGAGCAGGATACCATTGATTTAAATATACACGCGGCCATCATGTACAGTGCAGTTGTTATTACGGTTAAAAAGACAACTGTTTAAAAAAAAAAGTCGAGAGCAAAACTTGTCACAGACAAAAACAAAAAACAAAAGAGAACTTTAGAAAAGCATATAAAAGCGGCTCTAAATATACTAATATCCAGACATTCTCTCTCTCTCTCTCTCTCTCTCTCTCTCTCTCTCTCTCTCTCTCTCTCTCTCTTTCTCTCTCTCTCTCTCTTTCTCTCTCTCTCTCTCTCTCTCTCTCTCTCACACACACACACACACACACACACACAAAACCTGCTGAGCATAAACATGTTAAGAAGGCAGACAACAAACATTTGTTGTAACATAGAAATCATTTATACAGCTTAGAAAATAATTTGTTTCGAATGAAATGTTAAGTGTACACAGTACAGTTAAGTATACACAGTACAGTTAAGTATCATCATCATCATCATCATCATCAGAATGTATGTAGGTGCATGTATTATGTATGTCTGTATATGTATGAGAATGTTTCTATGTAAATTTAGCTGTGTAAGTATTTGGGTGTATGGGTATACATGCATGTATATGGATGTTTGTCGGTATATGTAGCTGTGTATGTATGTGGATGTGTGTATTTATGAATGTATGCAAGTATGCATGTATGTAAGTATGTGGGTATGTATTATGTATGTGTATGTATGTATAAAAGTATCTATATGTGTGTATATATGTATGTATTATCTGGGTGTGTGTGTGATTGTGGGTGTATGTGTGTATGCATGCATGTGGATATATGAATGTATATTTAAGTTTGTATGTGTGTGTATTTATGTATATATGTTGTAAGTATGTGTGACTGTATGTGAGTGTATGTGTGATTGTGGGTATGTGTGTACATAATGTAGGCAAGTATGTATGTATGCATGAGTGTATGTATGTATGAGAGTATCTGTATGGGTGATTATATATGTGTGTATGCATGTATGTAATGTGTGTCGGCATGTATGTGGGTGTGTGTATGTATGCATGTTTGTGGATGTGTGTATGCATTTGTAGATGTATAAGTATGTGAGTGTACATGTGTGTATTTAGGTATGTAAGCATGTATGTGTGTAAAGATGTAGGTGTATGTATTGATGTGTGTATGTATGTATGTGTGTATGTATGCTTACATGTGAGTGTAAATGTGTGGTTGTGGGTGTCTGTACATGTGATTGTATGTGTGT